TTTTAGGACGCGTCTCTCTCTCCTCTTCACACACCACACTTTTCGCGGCACACGTACTTACAGCCAATCAGCTCTGAATGATGTGAGATGATGTATGGTGGGGATGGCAGCACTCTGCCCCTGTTGTCATAATTTGCCACACACATTAAATAGGACAATACTCTGAGCATGCGCAGTGTAGTTTTTACACTCACCGTTCACTTAGACAGGGAGAGGGAAGGCATGGCTCTAAACAGCTCAATAGGCACACCCTGTAGACACTAATTAGAAGAACACAGACTAAAACGAATCAGATGATTAAACATGATCTTAAAATATGTTTTATAAATATATATTTTTTTTTTTGCATTTTGTTGTAAACATTATTTGTAATACTTTCTGCTGACACTAATGACCAGTCGCCACTGCCAGTACAAGCGCTAGCCAATCAAACCGCGTGCTTGTGTGTCCGGGGCGGGAGGTTAATGTGATTGGTTGTTAGTCGCGCACCAGACACGCCCACCGGCAAGCTTCAGCGCGACGGAACCGTTTGGACGATACGTTAATGTGAGACTCGCACTAAAGAGAAATGTGGCTCAACAAAGGCTTTAGACGAGATCGTTTTCTGATTGACTTTGACCTGAGACTCGACTTGGCCCTTTTCTCAATTGGCTTGAAACTTAATTTGTGACCTGACTTCCAACTTGCATTGACTTAATTGTTTCTTTACCTGGATTTATCTTCTCCTAAGATTTGACTCAAACTTACCCTAAGATCTGACTTATAAAATGTCCTAAATCTTCTCCTAGAACTTCTCCTTTGACTTGACTTTGTCTTCAGACTTGACTTAAACTTTCCCTAAGACTTGACTCCTTCTAACCTGTGGAATAGACTTTGCCTTGCCTCCATTAACTTGAGAGTAAATCAGACATGACTCGAGTCTTGACTTGATGCTGATGGATCGTTGTAACGGTCTTTTTGTCCCCCTGCAGCCTCTGAAGCTGCAATGTGAGCTCTGCAGCATCGTGTCCAGCTCCGGCCAGATGTTGGGCCAGGCTGCCGGGGCGCAGATCGATCGCTCTCCGTGCATCTGGCGGATGAACAACGCGCCCACGCGGGGTTTCGAAGTTGACGTCGGCCAGCGCACCACGCTGAGAGTGGTCTCGCACACCAGCGTCCCCCTGCTGCTGCAGAAGCCTCAGTACTTCTTCGGACAGGCCAACGACACGGTCTATGTGGTGTGGGGGCCGCTGAGAAACATGAGGAAGGACGGGAAGGGCATCGTGTACAACATGCTGCGACAGGCGGCCGAGAACTACCCGCATGCACGCATCTACGTCACCACAGAGGAGAGGATGAACTACTGCGACATGGTCTTCAAGAAGGAGACGGGAAAAGACCGGTGAGTCACATCTCGTTAATATCTTTGATCCTGTTTTTTGGCTTTGCAGCAGTCCCCTCTCAGACAAATGTACCACTTAGTGCTTTGACATTCACCGTCCAGTTCTTTGCTTTAATATCATCTTTATCGATGCTGATGGTGTGCTCTGTGCTTTGCGTTTCTCAAATCCTCCTTTTCATGAGGCCTCTTCAAAGTGAATTGCCGTACTTTCCCTCTGAAGAGACTTAACGCGGCACCAGAGGCCGTTTTCCAACTCAAGGCTTTTACGATGAGCCTCAGAAGCATGGACAGCCTATGGTATATACCTCAGCCAAATGCCGGTGTGGGGAATCGTCCTGTTGTTAATGAGGTGGCAGGATTCTGGCAGTCTTTTCCAAACACCCTGAGTGCAGCCGGCCTCACAACTTCTCTGACGGCATTTTGGCACATTTTGAATTTGCAAAAAAACGTAAAATTATCCAAGCTACAGCTTTGTGACCTGGGAAGTTGGGAAAGTGTTTGTTGGCAACAACATGTGTTAAAATTGCACTCTGTAATTTAAAGACTAACCCACGCAGCAACTCCTTTCTCCTGCAAGTCCCCGAAGAGAACTGCAGGTTAATGACTATGAGATTCAGGCTCCAGCCTCGCTATTGTTCAGGACCAACCTAATTTCTCAGACTCGCCTCTGCTCATTTCCACAGAGCTCTACACCCCTGCCTCTCCCTCATGTCATCAAGACCTCTCTTAACTTCTTAAGAGGATTAACATGTTCCGTAATAGGCGTAGAATCCAGTCCATTCCAGCTCCATTGTCTCGCTCTTATTCAGGATGGCAGGGTTAACACTGAATTTCATGTCGAGCGTCCATGTTCAGCCTGGCTCAGCTGTTCTCGGGTCCGCGAAGCACAGATAGAAACGTGGGATTAGGGAGCAGAGCTCGGGGAGAAGAATCTCATTACTGGACATAATGCTCCTGGGTGAGATGCAGGGCTTCAATCATTACTGATTGGTAATAGAGAGAGAAACTCGAGGTGTGAACAATGAAACACATCTAATGAAAACCTGACAAGCTCTGCTGCTTCCCTGCCTGTATGTTGTGTTTATATTCGTCTGAAACTTGGCTCCACATATTCCTGTATTTAAAATTAATTGGTGTCCACGGTTACTGCTTTTATATTAGCATGAAAGACAACAATAACATCGTCTACTTTAATGTACTGCAACCAGTGGGAGTGAAGGGAGTATCCGCTTTTATGTTGAGCTTATTGGATATGGCATTATTCCAGAAATAAACTATGACTCTTTAAGATCCTCATAGACATGCAAATGAGTTGTTTGAAGTCCATAGTATTATATAATGCTCTCAAAATGTCTAAAAACTAAACCGGGTCAATCTATTTTTTCTCCTCATCCATACAAAGTTCATTTGATTGTTTAAGTTGATAAGAAACTGACTTTGTTAATAGTTTTTTAACTCAGACTTGTTTTTTCTTAGACCCAACTTAAACTTGTCCTTAAGGCCCAGATACACCGGCCAGTCACCTGAGAAGTCGCCGACGCCGACACCGACTGTTGCGTCGCCGGACTCTCCTGCGTATTTGCCGACTTCGCGCACCGGAACACACCGCAAATCCGAGCCGAGCACGTATGAACTGCGCATGCGTGAGTGGCAATAACTCTCCTTACCCATGCGCAGGGGTACTAAAATAATAATTTTAACACCCACCTTTTGAGCTTCAGATCACCCTAAAGGACTTGCAAGTTCTTACTAGCCCATAATCATAGGAAGAGTACTTAGTTCTGTAAGTTGCAACAAATCCTGTTCAAATTCAGTTCACATTCAGTCGATTCCTGTGGGTAGTCACGCCACGCAAAGATCTAACCAGTATATCCATGTGTCGATAAATCCTGGTAGACCAAACCTGAAATTAGTCGAAGAGAATAGTTCCAGAGAAAGTCTATGACCAGAGAATGCCTGCCGAAGGACTTTAAGCGAGTATTACTAGAAACAAGCAACCACAAAGTTACGCCAATGCTGGCCTGTACGATGCGCGCTGTCCTAGGCCATGAAAAAAAGTCCCGCCCCCAATCGCGAGGAAGAAAATGGGTCCGCACGTGCAAGTTTCCACAATCAGCAGTCTAAATTGCTACATAATAATCGGTCTTTCATCCGCCTACACAGATTTGTGGAGTATCATCGGACCAAACACCGCCCATCCTCCGTGAAAATCGTTGGTAACGGAATAGCGCATTCCACGCAATAAACCTAACTTTTCAACGATGGTCTTCAAGGACAACCTATTTATCCCAAAAAATAAACCACACCAATACACTGTAAAAGTAAACACACACTATGGGGAATCCTTTCGGGCGTAAGAAAGTCCTCGCCTACAAGTACGTACATCTTTACAAAAAACATATCGGTGTACCCCCGATAAAATTACATAAAAAAAACCTCGGAAGGAATTTTAACCAGTCCTAGGAATCACCACATACTGGGAAGTATAATAAAGGGATCAATCCATAACTATGTGTCAAAAGCACTCATCCACAAATAGTCCGGACCGCTTTTTTGTGACCTATCAGTGGAGTACTTGCCCACCATCGGTTAGGGTATTCGTGCGTATCCTATACAGCTCGACTCGACATTCGCTCCTGTGACTCCAAAGGTTACTATTCTATCGGTAAAAGGATGTCCCCCAACCCCCCCTCGTTAATCAAACCATAGCAAAAACAACCACTACGATTTGAAAAGGGCAAACCCCCGTATAGACATGTTAGATCGAACCCCAGAGACTTCATTCCTTGGAATAGTGGACACAGAAATATACATTTATAAAACAAATCCGTAGTATCCGAAAGAATCGAGGTAATTCAGTTACCACAGCATTGCCCAACAGCGCCCTAAGTCTATCTAAACTTTGTCGCCGCACTATTCCGGGATGTCCACGGCTCACATTGCGTCACAAAACGGGAACCGACTAACAAAGCGCCCATATCCCTCAATAGAAAGATAATCATATGGTTCACCCACTATATTGCATTGTCTCTCTGCGATCAGCGCGTAAAAACCCTCCCCCAAGTAAAACATTTATACATATCTCCTGCTAGATTTCGTCGTCGCCTTAATTATGTCTCCTGTTCTCTTCACACTAACACTCCCACAAAAAAACAGTACTCGACGCCAAACACTCCCTCAACGCCCGGGTGACCTTACCGCATGGGTACACGTCTACCTGCTGCGCAGCCTTCACCTAACCTCGTGCCTGGTCACTGTCCACACAAACGGGGAATCATAAACAACCACCTATACAAACATTATGAACATAACTCGCTTTCCTAAAATACTAGTTCGCCAAAACCTGCTGTGCAGACCCTCAGGCGCACCGTCCCGACACCTTCGGCGCACTATCCGGGTTCGAGGCACACCCATCTCGTCGTTAACCCTGGGACTACACCCGGATCGAATCACGAGCAGAACACATCTTTCCAATCTCCTTCCCCCACCCAGTCGGGCCTAACTGGCACGAAGCGGGACTCCCGCTACCTACCAACTCAACCGCCGGCGTCCCCTCCAGCCTCCTACAGTGTGGCACCGCCTCGTGTCCTGTTGGAGAAAACAAACCGACCGGTCTGTCTACCGGTGGTCTCCTGTCGACAACCGTAATGACCGAACACCCAAAAAAGTAGAGGGTTCCTTTGCGTGTCCGGCAACCTCTCTCGCTCAAACTTTATCCTCGTCAGACCCAAACGGTCGTATGTCGAGGTCCAGCCTAGTCACGCTCATCCTAACCCTGGTTCAAGGGGTTTGGTAGGGTAAGGCCAAGGTACCGTGACGGGGAGGGTACTCCGCATGGTACGTTGGCGCATCTTGACACACACTTACACCCCCTCTCTTTCCGGGCCTTCCGATCCACCCGGGACCCAGGACCGTCCCAAACCGCGCTCGTCTCTCCAGGAGTATTTCACCTGGATCTCAAGTGATATCCGCACCCTCGCGCTCTTCGCCGACCCGGGAACCGGACGCCGATCCTTCATTCGACGACAAGGTGTTGACAGATGGGGATGGTCAAGGAGTAACTTCCGCCCGTACCGGTAACCCTGTGTTCCTTCCCGGCACCCTCACATCCACCTGGGTGGGGCAATGTCCCCTTGACCTCCTCCCGTCCCCTACTGACTCTAGTTCCAGGACAACACACGGCAATCGTGACCCGAACAAAAACGAACCTCCCGTAATCAACTACAAATAAGACGTCGATTTCGCGGCTCACCGGCAGAACCAGTCCTATCCTAACCTAACATGTGCTATCAAGGAGTAACCACCACAGAATCGCTGCGTCAAACCCCATAGAACAATACAAGAATTCAGTACCCTTAAAAATCCCACTGCTCAAACACCTCCCTATTAAGATGTAGTCCTTAGATCCCACCGAACTAAAGAATAATACAACAAAATAAAATAATATAGACGTGTAAGCACCCAACGACTACAAAACAAATCACCACGGGTCCAATAACCCTAAAAATGAACGTAGCGACCCTCCCCCAACACCACCCCCCTCTCCCACCTCTGGCCGACCCGCACTTATCAGGGGGGAGGTCGTCAGACGACACGAGGTAGACACACCGTTCTTCATATGTCTCTGTCTTGGTCCAGGAGTGTCCCCGGGTAACGATTGAGGTAGGAGGTTTTGGTGGAACTCCCGACCCGACCGGGTGTGTTCGTGGTGGAATCGAATTGGCGAAGGAAACAGGACTCCTTAGCGGGGTTCCACCACCGAATACTAATTTAACCCCGACTGGGAGATCGGGAAAACCTGCGGGGTTGTGGCCTGTACGGGGACGGACAACCAATGAGTCACACCCCAGAACACCTCCATGCTTTTAGGGGGGGTTGACCCTCTTTTTTACCCTTCAACCATCTGGAAAAACTCGGGGGCGTTGACGAGGACCGGGTTTTATCGGTACCCAGACGGGGGCCAGACTGTGGTCCCAGATCCGGGACAAACCCCTACAGCCACCTCCGGGTCCAGGGGGCAATGGGACCCGACCTTGAGAATTTGACGCTCAGAAAAAAAACACCAACGCACGGATTAGGCTGCTACTTAGGGCACGCGTTTATTCCAAAGATAAGTTCAAACTTGACCTCTTAAGTCCTGTCTAGGAAGCTTAATTTGAACCCGGGTTATCTCCAGCTTCATCACTTGAGGTCGCTCCACGGCTTCGCTCCGCCTCAATCTACAAGGTGCCTTATTGGCCTTCAGGTGTATGGATAAGGACGACACTACGCAGTTTTTTAAACTTGATACTTCGACTCGGTGTGTCGTGGGACTCTCCTGTGTTTTAACGTTCGTAATGAGACCTTCAAAAGCATGGGGTTTCGTTAATTTTTACCGTCCGTCTGACATTATACCATTCTTTATTTGTATGTTTTCTTTCTCTCACATTTAATTTTTCCTGGTTCTTGCGTAACTTGATATAAGACTATCGCGACCGTTCTACTTATCACTCTTGTAAATAACTATACTAAATGAATGTCTCCCCCAGTAAAGTAAAACTTTCTCAACATTTCGGTGGGGTTAAGGTTGCAAAATTTAACTTACTAACTACCAGTACACACCGTGGTACTGGGAGTGGTACAGTACTACAATCGACTTCGGTTCCATTTCAGACTCTTTTCTTTATAACGATTTGTTTTAGTCTTTTCCTTTTACGGATCTCCGATTGAATAGGTATATTCGAGTTAACCTCTGTCTACCTCACGCAATTCTGAACCTTGTCTCACATTTTACGCGCTCTCGTGCCGCATTTTGTATACTCATACAATGCATAAGTCTTGAAATCTCTTTCTCATCAATTTTCTATCATTACGCCCGTAGGAAACACTGCTCGCCGTATTTACCCTTCAGGAGTAGAACAGATGTGAAGGAGTATGTAGTGATATCCTTAAACTTAGGTTATACTTCGGCAGTCTAGTCGTATCAGAAGACTGGGATACAAGCGTCAGGGTAACAAAAACAGTTCTACCTGCTCTCACTTTTACCTTCTCTTGTGGTTTGCGATAACAAAACAGACAGAATACCATAGTTGGACGTAGACGCGTCGTTATGTGACGACCCCCTCACAGAGGACACTTTTAAAGCCAACATGAGTAATTCTTCAGAGCAGACTAGAGAAGAGTACCGTCGTCCGGGGCTGCTTTTTTGTAACCATGGCGGCGTTGTATCAACAACGAGAAAACTTAACTACTTATGTGTGAT